AACATTGGCTGCTTTTTACAAAATTCTACAAAATATTTCAATTGTGCATGTACCCGAAAGTGCTAGTTTTTGGTAACAAGTACACCTGATATATACGTTCGATCGGCACTATGGGACAGTTTATCCAATTCCAATACAGCGTTGTCTAATTGAACATTTCCATCAAATTTCTGAACTTGAAACGTGCTTCTGCTCGCCCTCGATGATTTTTTTAGCTTTCTTATCATCTTCATTATCAAGCGAGTTGTATGACCGAATAAGAGAAGTGTCATGAGTCCAAGCCATACCAAGACTACAACCCCGGTGACACAACTAAGTATCTCTTTCCCTTCTTTAGATGTTAACACAATTATACTTATAGTGTAAGTTAGTGCTATTGTCGTAATAGCTACCCAATTAATCGCCATCAGTATCCACTGTTGGAAATAATACTGTGATTGAGGATATTACTCCTCAATCACAATCTTCCCATAGCATGCCAATGCCAATCACGTAATTGAAGGAGGCTAATTTACACGGTTTCCATTTCATTTACACGGTTTCCATTTCATTGTAAATTATTGATTTGTATTTCATTTATACTATCTTGTAAAGCTCTATATAATGCAATACGATACACCACTGAAATTAAGGTCGATTTTAATCATTCTTATGATATCAGAGCCAAGTGGTTTAACATACATACCACATATCCTGTTCTTCTTTTTCCCTTCATGGCTTCTAAAACTTCTGCCACCATTCTTCCTTTCAATACCTTAATCCACATGATCACCATTAAACTTTCCTCCTCAAATTATCTTCTCTGGAAAGCCCAACTCCTCCCTTTTCTTGATAATCAAGAATTATTAGGACATGTTGATGGCACCCTTATAGAGCCCCCAAAACTTGACGCTACCACTTCTCTCACACCAAGTGACAAATACCTAGCATGGAAAGCTATTGATCAGCGTCTCCTCAGTTTGTTACTTTCCTCCCTCACAGAGGAAGCCATGGCTGAGGTAGTTGGCCTCTCCACCGCATGAGACGTGTGGTTGGCACTAGAAAGTGCATTTAACCATCGTTCTAAAGCTCGAGAACTATGCCTTAAGGATGACTTGCAATTAATGAAACGCGACAATAGATCGGTTGTTGAGTATGCCCGTTCCTTCAAAGCAATTTGTGATCAACTACATGCAATTGGTTGTCCAGTTGATGGTACTGACAAGGTGCACTGGTTTCTCCGTGGGGTCGATACTGATTTCTTTAGTTTCTCCACAGCACAAATGGCCCAAACTTCTCTGCCCTCATTTGCAGATTTAGTCTCAAAGGCCGAAAGTTTTGAAATTTTTCAGAAATCCCTTGACTCATCTTCTCCAGCAATGACAGCCTTTACTGTCACAAAAAATTCCACCCATCATGGTGGCTCTTCTCGTAGTCATCGGGGTTGCTTCGGTAGGCGTGGCAGCAGTTCATCTGGTCGTGGACAA